GCCACATTCTTAAAATGAAAACGCATTTCTGAAAATGCGTTTTTATTTTAAATCAGGTAACGATTTGCTTCCATAGTAGATCAGGGTTGGCACGAGCAGCGGTTCTGGTGAAACGGCTCTGCTTTTACCTTGAAAGGGATGTGGCTCTCAGAGAGCAGCGGCCCATCCAGCTCTATCACCGGACCCGACTGGTCTCCTGACATCAGCTGCATGGTGGTTTCTAAGGACTCCCCAGCTGAGCCGTCATCAGGATGTAGGACTTTGGCTAACGTGTCAAAAGCTCTGAACATAAAACAATCAAATAAACAACCCAAAGAACTCTTATTTCAAAACAAATGCATTTATTTATCACATTTACAATTCCGTTGAAGCTTCAACTGCCCCTGAATTTCCCTCTGGAGAACCAGGGTCCAAACATGCAGTAACAAAAACACAACATCCATATCGCATCTTTTTTATTCCTCATAACAACTCTCACCTGGTGATATCGCTCGTGTTCTGATCGTCGCCTTGCATGTCAGTCATAGAGCTATCACCATTGCTGAGCGTTTCAGCTCCCATTGCGTCATTCCCACCGTCACTTAGCTCCCTCGTCTTGTTAAGGTGAGCAAGGGATGTAACTACATTTGCCAACGTACCAAGATCCCCCTGAGACAGATCATCCTGTGGGGAAAAGCAGTAATGTTACTATTTTTAGGTCAAAATTTCATAGGTGACCAGGTACCTTTTTTAACAATTACCCTTGAATTTATTACAGACATTTCTTCACAAGAAAAAATTTAAACATGGAGTCTGAAAAAACAGCAACTTTAAAAGTCATGATGAACAATTAAGCCGGAAATCATAGGTGTCAAGTAACAAAGTACAAATACTTTGTTACTGTACTTAAGTACACTTTTTAGGTATCTATGCTTCACTCCATTACTTATTTTTCTTCCTACTTCTGACATCTACTCATTACTTTTTCCACAAGAATCTGTACTTTCTATTCCTTGAATTTTTAAAAAAAACGTCACTCGTTACTCTTGGCTTCAGATAAATGTTTATAAATATTTATTTCACGTCATGTGCGCCATTCAATGCAGATCATTGGCTCCAAACTAGTGTGATTGGGTGAGTCATAGAACGCAAACACTCATTGGTTAGCTAAAGGAAATCATCAGAACCAAGCAGGTGTTCTTCAAACTGCTAACGTGAATTGTCTATGCCATGCTACAATGTCGGATTCAGAAAAAGATGTTGGAATGTCTGAAAGGTCGGACACAGGGGAGAACGTATCGGGAGATGGAGACGGAGACAAACAAGACCTCCCTCATCCTTGGAAGAGGAATTTTTCAAAATAGTCGTAAAATTGAGCTTTCAATTCATATAGCTGCATCTGGCTGTTTTTTTAAAGGTTACTTTATACTTTAAGCAGTTTTTGGAGCACATACGTTTTCACTTTTACTTGAGTAAAGAGGTCAAGTTGATACTTCGACTTTTACCAGAGAGTTTTTAAACTGCAGTATCTATACTTCTACTTAAGTAACAAATATGTGTACTTTTGACAGCACTGCCGGGAATACACAGTACGATTTTTTGCCCTTTTCACGCCGATTCTCCAGTCGTGTGAGAATTTTTCGATTGGGCTGACTTTCAGCTGGATGGTGCGTCGTGTAGGTTACAAGGGGTAACGAGGGGCAACCTCTCACCACCACCTCCCAAACAGGAATCATAAGGTCAGGGGGAAAATCAAACATATCTGTAATTCAGTCGGGCACCCTAAGGTGGCATTAGGCAAATTGCTCAGTGGGCAAACAAGGATTCCTTTTCTTCCTCTTCTCAGAAAAAAAACAACACAGAAGCATGGCAGGGGTCCCAGTGAAATGGAGTTCTTTCTGTAAAATTAACAGACCGTAGTAGCCACGTTTGCTCAGCCATGCCTTTGTCCAAATACGTCGTCGCCTTTTCTTTTTAGGGCTTTCAGCACAAAATTGCACAAATTGCCAGGGCAGCGGGTTTCCCTCTAATGAGCTTCATATTCCTCTTCAACTCGTATGGCTTCCAGATAGATGAGTCCAAGTAGCGCCATCTCACTGAGGAGCTGAGTCCAACGTGTTTTTTAGACGAACAGTGTGAGCTATGCAACGATTGCCCAGCTTTAGAAAGATGACGTGATGGACGGACAGAGGAATGGAGGCCAGAGAACTGAACAATTAGCAGACAGATAAACGCCAAACTAATAAACGGACTGATATATAAGAAAATGTGACAATAGATATAAGGAGATTATGGATGAAAATGAACAGTCTGGAAATAAATAACAATTTACTTTGAAACATTTCCCCGACTGGAGGATCTCTGCAGCTAATTCATTTGTTATAACTTGGATCTTACTTTATCAGGGGAGGCAGGAATCAGGATTGTATTTTCCAGCTTAGGGAACGGCTGCTGGATGTTGAGCATCATGCTGGACTCAAGCAAACTAGTGGATCTAAAAAAAAAAAAAAAAAACATTCATCATTAGACAGCCATGATGATTAAATATCCGCAGATGGAAATATTATATAAGCTTTATTATATTCCTATTAAACAAATAGTAATGAGTTGATATATGAGAAATTGAGTTATTACAGTTATATAATATGATATTAGAGTGTTTGATTATGCACAGCTAAGCGTAAAGCAACAAAAAAAGTGTTGAAAAAAAAAATATTATAGATAATTAAACAGAAAATTGATAGCAAACCTGTACATTGTTTGGTATCAACACTGCAGACATAGTTCAAAGTCAATTGGACATCTGATCACTGTATATTACGTACCGAGCAGTTTCCTTCTCAGAGACAAACGTGGGCGTGGCAGCCAGAGGGCTACAAAGATTCTTCCGGATGTAGATCTTTTCCGTAGAGGCCGCACAGTTCACCGATTTCTCTCTGGTGGCAACTTCGACAGGTTTCCGTTCACACTGCACAGCTAGAATATCGGACAGTGGGCAGGTGAATCTTTCTTAACATGTTTTTAAAGGAGTATTTAGTGTAAAGGGGTCTCTTACAATCCTGTTTCATGCCCAGAGCTATGCAGCGCTGCAGTCGGCAGTACTGGCAGCGGTTTCGGTGTAGTTTATTAATTGCGCACTCTCCGGAGCCTCTGCACGTATACACCAGGTTCTTCCTTATGCTACGCTTGAAGAAGCCCTTGCAGCCCTCGCAGCTGACAGCTCCATAATGACGCCCTGAATTAAAAGAAAATGTAAAAACATATTTTAAACAGATAAAAAAAAGGTTTATATTGCAGCAAAAAAAAGTGTCTCTGCTTAAAGTAAACAGTTATTTCTACCTGATGCCTTGTCGCCACAAACAACGCAGTACTCCACCATCGGCTTGACAAGAGACTGGTCTGCGCCTTCGGTCACAAACTGACAAACAAGCCGACACAATGAAAAGATTTAGTACGCTAAACCCAGCAGCGGGTTTAGACTGCCCAAACATGCTCATGCCGCAGTCATCTGAACCTTTAATGGCCTGTTTATAGAAACTGTATCCTGGAGACGTCAGGGTGTGTTTGGGTAGTACCTGGATCTGCTGTCCTGCCAGTTCAGGGGCAGCGAAGAGCAGCTGGTTCACCCCGGAGCCGTCAGAAGAGGCCAGTATCACCTTGTTGGGAGAGCCTTCCTGCTTGGCCAGAATTACCTTCCCGCCGGGGGAATAGTCGGCATTCGCTAAGATAAACTGCTGTTTCCCAGGGGAAGGTGGTTCAAGTGCTGTTACTATTTGGATCCTCTGTCCAGTCTGCTGATCAGTTACGATCTATCACAGGAAAAAGATGTTAAAAGAATGAAGGATTATCTAGATTTCTAGTAGACATAAAAGATGGAGCTAAGCGCGCCTCTGTCTTTACTACCAGTAAAAGGAAAAGTTTTCTTTAGGGTGCATAGGCCTCTGATTCACCTGGATCCGATGTCCTAAAGCCATGTTGTTGTCTGCAGACACAAGCTGAATCTTGTGAGTCAGTCCATCCATCCTATTGTGTGCACACCTTCATCCGCTGCTCCTCACATCAGTGCCCCATGAGGAATACACACCTGAACAGCAAAGACCATCACAGTTCAATTACCTCACAATATGTGCAGATATGTCGCACTGGGACTGCTGCAGAAAAATCAGCTTTTCAAGACATAAACATTTGAATGACAACATAATTAAGACCTTCTACTGAAACCATCTTGTGACCTTAGAGCAAGCTTGGTAAGCTATAAATACTAATCTAAGCTGTGCTGAATACGGTGGACTTTGTTAAGCTGAATTAGAATATGCACTCAAACAGGGAAGTTTGGTTAGATTCAGCACCAAGTGATATTACGATTATAGCGAAAGAAAACCCTAGTAATTCAGCTTCTCAGACAATTAGATTACTACATTAGATCAATTCCTTAGCCACCATCCACAAAGAGAGTAAACCACAAAAGGTTGATTCTAAATAAGATAGATATTCACAAAGTACTCTGATAAGGCATATTAATGGAAAGTTGAGTTGAAGGAAAAGTGCAGTAGAACAAGGTACACAAGCGGCAGCGGTAAATAAATCGTCCAGAGCCCAATAAAGCATAGACCATTTTAGAATTTGCAGAAGACTGTGGCAGGAGAATTGCTTTGAGAATCACCATACACACACATTACACACACATACCCATGATAATGGCTGCAATAGTCGCATGTCTTGTTTTGAGCAGCTTCTAAGTCGAGTGTGTTAGGTACAGCTGCAACACTCTATGCTTCCCTCTGTTGACAAGTTTTATGGAGATTCTGAATTTACTTTCCAGCAGAACTTGGGACTTAAGCAAACTGCAAAAGACAGCAAAAGCTGGTTCAATAACCACGTTGTTACTGCGGTTGTTTGGTAAGCCAAGTCATCAGATCAGAACCTCATAGGGAATCTTTGGGTATTATCAGGAAGACGATGAGACAGCAGACCCAACAGTGCAGACAGCCTGGGCTACTTTAACACGTCAGCACTCTAACAGGCAGTAAAGGGAGATCTGACCCATTATCAAACGTAAAAATGGATAGATGCACAGAAGGCCTGCATTTCTGGATTGAAATTTGTTGCATTGATGACCGTTTAATAATAATGTAAGCTTTTGTATAAATTAAAAATTGTAGTTTTTATTACTTAGACAAATTTTATTGTCGGTTTGTATACACAGTGTATGCAAAATGAAATTTAGTTTAGTGCAGCTTTTCTTTGCAGCAGTGATTACATGTAAACAGTGTGGGAGAAAAAAAAACATGATGCAAAAAAACACATTGATATTAGCTGTAAACAAAAGTAATATGATTGAAGAATATCTTTTTACTTAACGGCAAAATAAACATAATTGATTATCTAATGTATTGCTGTAGAGTTGCAAGCAAAAGTAGGATGTAAAACCAAAACAGCGTAAGAAATGTTTGAGCAGATTCTGGTGTAGAAACAATCAGTTTGTATTTTAGCATCGCATCCTCATCTCTCCACAAAAGCGATGTAATCGATTAGAAAGCTTAGACTCAATCCGCTGCAAGTTGTCTTGATTAGCAGGTATAAACTGTTTATCATGTTGGATGTCAGGATGTGCTAGTCTGAAGCCTGCAGGAGGCTACCGAGCTGCGTTAGCAAAAAATCCCCACAAAACTACACAACAGCAATGCGAAGTGAGATCGGATGAGTCCTAAAAACACTAGGTTTACACATGCCACTAACAGCCGGCTACTTAAAATCCATACGGAAGATAAAGGTATTTCTTTTCCTGTCGGTGAAAGGTCAACATTGAAGGGTTAAAGCGCGCTAGGGTTCAAGGCCCATGATGCCGACAGAGACTGCTTGTTTGCGACAACCGGTCTGTACAGCTTTATACTGGATCTTTACCCTCATCGTCAGACGGAGACAGCCGAAGCTTTCACACCATACCCCGCTGATACGAAGCTAACCTGCGATGCGGACGCTTTAATTTCTGAATCTATGGAGCGGCGCTAGCAGGAGAGGTAGCAGTAGCACTGTTAGCCGACTAAGCTAACCAGGCTAACTGGATGGTTACTGGATGATTACTTTCATCCAGTGGCTCTTAACGCCCACCTACTGACAGGTGAAGACATAAAAGTATTCCTTTCGTATATGCATACCTGAACCCGAAGGAGCTCCGGACTAAAACAAGTTATATTTGCCGCTTGTTAGCTAGTGGCTAATAGCAACCTCCTTCCTGTTTCTCCAACGGCGCGAAGCTCTCGTGACCCTGGAACACCTACGCAGTAATGAATGTACCTTACCTGTTGAAAAGTCGATGTGTAAGAAAGGGTCCTGCTTTTAATGAAATAATATTGTGTTTTCTGCGGCTGTTGGGAGGGTCAGAGTTCGTGACCTTTTTTTTATCAATAGAGGGTTTGTCGCGCATGCGCATAGAGACAGCTGCGGTGTGCGTCCGTCAGAGCGGCTGCGGTGCGTTTACTGTCCGTCATCTCTGCAGCCAGCATCTCACCGGCTCCTTCTGGTGATTTGAATGACATGGCTGGTGGCTATCACTTATCTGTATTTAAAAAGAAACCTGAATGAGGCAAAAAAATATATATATTTTTTAAACCTTTTTAAATGTTCTTCTTCTTGTTGGATTTATTGGCGGTTGGTAACAAACATTTAGTAGCATTACCGCCACTTACTGGTATGGAGTGTGGTTTGTGATGGACTATCTACTTAATAAACATATATATAATTTCTAAGGGAAAAAAAAAACAAAAACTACATACTTATTCATAACTTTGTATTCTACCCGTCTATATTTTACACACATTCACACTCTCTATAATTAGATTATATGAAATAATTTAGTTTTCTTTAAAAATCGAATAATTATTTGTATACGTTT